GCAGACCTGCTGGCTAACTCTTTTCTGCACAGGTCAGATAGCAAATGTTTCTATCACTGTGGTTCAAGCTCTGTTGTAGTGCAAAAGAAGCTATAGACAATGGAAGTGAATAGGTGTGGCTGTGATCCAATAAAACTTTATTTTCAAAAACAGGTGAGGGTTACAGACTTGGAGATCCTGTACAGGGTCAATATAGGTTAGAATCCACTCGGTGGCAGTGGGTTTATAGGATATGTTAGAGGGTCACGTTACACCCAAGCTAATTCCCTACACTGTCCTTTAAAGTGGTATAAATTATATTCACAATAAAATATTCTTTTTTAAAAAAAATATTCTTTTAAAAAGGGGAATTATTTCAATTTCTTGGAAGGAATCATTTAAGTCTCTTGGGGGCTAGAATTATATTCACATTGTTTCCCAATAATTAACACATGGCTTGGCATCTAGTGGGCACATAGCAGTAAGTACGTTTACAACAATTAGTAAAATACAATCTAATGGCTAGGATTGTTACAGCAGGGAGGGAAAATTATTCTAGGGCTAGAGGGTAGGCTCATGTTAAGCTGGTATAGTGGTAATAGACAGTAACAGTACTAACTGCTGGCCCATTTTACACTTACTACTGGATCTTTAGAGTCCTGGTGTGGTACTGTGCGTTAATGTGCTGGACTTCAAAGTTGGCGGTTCAAGCTCACCAGCTGCTGCTCACAAACAAGGTTGTTATGGATTGGAACCAACTCGATGGCACTTAACAACAACAAACTGTATTTTTGGTAGTGCTAGTGTGGCACTGCGGGATAATACACTGGGTCACAGGTAGGTGGTTCAAGTTCACCATTTGCTCCTTCGACATCCTATACAGGGTGGGAATGAGTTAGAACTGACTCAAAGGCACTTAACAACAACTGTATTTTTACCCAATCAATGTGCTTGCTATACAGCTTTTGCAAAACACAACTTCCTTGTGCTTTATTTTCCTATGCACGCTTGTCATTATTGTTAAGTGTCATCCGGTCGGTTCTGACCCAGCTTCCAAGTAGCAGCAGGTGAGCTTGAACAGCTGACCAATTGGTTCAAACTGATCTTGCAGTCCAGTGCATTAACCCACAGCACCACACCACAATGTGTGAGAATACATCTCATTTAGTCCTTAAAATACCCCTTCCTTTCCCATAGAGAAGCATAGCAAAGTTCAGCAATTAGTCCAAATCTTCCGAGAAGTTAAGAGACAGAGATCTTACCCTCCATTCTATCTGCTTGAAAACATTAAGACCTACAGCTCCCTATTTTTAGTGTTCCTACTCCCAAGTCCTGGTGTGGCGCTGTGGGTTAATGCACCAGACTGCAAAGCCATTTGAACTGCAAGGTTGGTGGTTCAAGCTCACCAGCTGCTCCTAGGGTTGCTATGGGTCGAAACAGACTCAATGGCACACAACAACAACAACTCCCAAGTCCTAGAATATCCGTGTTTGTGTTACATCTCATTTTTGACAATTCCCAATTTTCCTAGATTCATACTTCATACATTCCTTGTTCCAATTATTAATGGATGTTGACAGCTGTTCCTCTTCATGAGTTGTGCCCCAATCGGCAAATGAAGGTCCTGAGGGCTTTACTTCATTTGAATCATCACGGTCATCTCTACTTTGAGGAGGCAGCTCTTCTCCAGTCGCATTTTGAGTGCCTTCCAACCTGAGGGGCTCAATTTCCGGCACTATATCTGACAGTGTTTCACTGCTTTTCATAAGGTTTTCAGTAACTAAACATTCAGAAGTAGTTAGTCTCTCCTTCTTCCTAGACTGTCTTCATCTGGAAACTCATCTGAAACCTGTCCACCATGGCTGATCCTGCTAGTACTTAAAATTACCATGGCATAGCTTCCAGAATCACAGCAACTCACAAGCCACCACAGTACGACCAACTGACAGATGGAACGCGGAAATCATCAAACAATATCATTCACATCCCATACAAGTAAAGTTTTACTAAAGGTTAATATAGAAATGGCTGCAACCATACATTGACAGAGAAATTTACAGAGGTTCAAGCCAGATTCAGAAGAGGACGTGGAACAAGGGATATCATTGCTGACTTCAGATGTATCTTGGCTGAAAGCAGAGAATACCAGAAAGATGTTTGCCTGTGCTCTACTGACTATGCAAAGGCCTTTGTGTAGATCACAACAAGTTATGGACAACATTGCAAAGTATGAGTATTCTGGAACACTTAATTTTGCTCAAGAGAAATCTGTACATGGACCAAGAAGCAGTTGTTTGAACAGAACAAGGGAACACTGAATGGTTTAAAATTAGGAATGGCATGAAACAGGGTTGTATTCTTTTACCATACTTATTCAACCTGTATGCTGAGCATATAACCCAAGAAGCTGGGTTATATAAAGAAAAATGTGGCATCAGGATAGGAGGAAGACTCATTAACAACCTGCAATATGCAGATGATACAACCTTACTTGCTGAAAGTAAAGAGGACTTAAAATACTGATGAAGATCAAAGAGCAAAACCTTTAGTATGGATTGCATCTCAATGTAAAGAAAACAAAAATCCCCACCTCTGGACCAATAAACAGCATTCTTATCAATGGAGAAAAGATTGAAGTTGTCAAAGACTTCCATTTTTCTTGGATCAACCATCAACAGTCATGGAAGCAGCAGTCAGGAAATCATATGCTGTATTGCATTAGGCAAATCTGCTGCACAAGACCTTTATAAAGTGTTGAAGAGCAAAGATTAGTAAGCTTGAGGACTAAGGTGCACCTGACTCAAGTCAAGGTATTTTTGATAACTTCATATGCATGTGAAAGCTGGACAGTGAATAAGGAAGACCATAGAATCTATACATTTGAATTATGGTGTGGGAGAATATTGAAAGTGTCATGGGCTGCCAAAAGAACTAACAGATCTGTGTTGGGTGAAGTACAGCCATAGTGCTCCTTTGGGGCCAGGATGGCCAAATTTCGTCTCTCATACTTTGGACACATTGTCAGGAGGGACCAGGAGAAGGATAACGTGTTTGGTAAGGTGGAAGGTCAGCAAAAAACAGGAAGTCCCCCCGCAAGATGGATTGGTAAAGTTGCAGCATCACATGGAGGGGATTGTAACCATGGCAATGAGACGATATACGATAGAATGAATGTAAAACTAATGTTCTCCCATGTAAACTATCACATAATTCACAATAAAATACTTACAAAAAAAAAAAAGTTGCAGCATCAATGAGCTCAAGCATAGCAACAATTGTGAGCTTGGCCCAGGACCGGACAGTTTTATTTCATTGTGCATAGGTTCACTATTAGTCAGTACCGACTCGAGGGCACCTAACAACAACTCCCAAGTCTGGACCAGACAGAGAGAGCCAAGTATGCCTCAATCTTACAGGACACCTGCATCTAGTTTGTCCACCTCCAGCTTTCCCAGGACAGCTACCTCCACCAGGGCACATCCGAGCCTCTCCTTCCCCCCCACTATAACATTTTCTTACTCCCCTGCCTGCCTTTGAGTTGTGCCAAACTCAAGTGATGCAGGCTGACTATCTAGTAACTCTGAATAAATAGCCTGTTGGTTTCCATTTGTGTGTTGTCTTTCCATATTTCCATCGGTGTTGCTTTCCTATTTGACACTTGTAGACCCACTCAAACAAAAGGTGGTATCTTTAGGTTGCAGTCTTCTACAAGACAAGGATCTAAGCTTGGCACAGTTGCAGGACCAGAAAAAGCAACAGAACGGCCTTCCCTTTCCTCCTTCCAAAACCTTTCTTATTTTTTCTACTTAAATTAGTTTTCCCCCTGGGTGGGGATCAGAGCTGTCATTCTTTCCTGCCCCAAGATTCTAATCCTACCTGAAATTCCCGGTTGGGGTTCTGCCTGAGCAGATAAGGGCCACCTCCTACACACACCTGTTCCTGGGCCACACCCGCTCTGCCCTGAGGCCCTGGCTGGCGCCTCAGAAGTAGAATCCAGTGATGGGCCTGCTCTGGCCCCAATGAGGTGTCAGGCATTCAGGCGTAGCCCTAGTGGGGATAGGGTGGGTGGGGTAGGAGTTTGAAACTTTCTGACAGGTCCTCAAGTCACAACAGCTCCTAACACCTGCCTCAAACAAGAAGGACCCATCCCTTTGCCAGGTGGTTGAGTCTATTATTCTAAATTCGTAACCCAAACCCTGCCAGAACCAAGTCCTTTTCCTGGTCTGGCCCATGCCCCTCACCCAGCCATCTCCACCCAACCTTTGCTGTGTCTCCGTGTGCTGGCTCTCAAAGAGCTATGTCCACCGAGGCCAGCAAAACGGGCTGGCACAGAGGGTGGGACGAGGTGAGGGGGCCGCTGGGTCAGGCCTTGCAGACAGAGGGCTCTAGCGGGGAGAGACGCAGAGGGAGGGGAGAGGGGGGAACTCCAGGGCCGCGGTTGGGTGGGTGCCTCCCTAGCCTTGCTGTGAGGGAAGCCCTCAGGCAGCCCCATCCCCAATCCCTCCAGGCTCTCTGTGCTCTCGGCAGTTGTCAGGCCCATCTCCCCAGATCGTCTCGGTTTTTCCAAGGCCCCCCAGGGTCAGGGCAAGGCGTCGAAACTGGACGAACAGCTCCCCACCCTAAGGTTCCCGCAGGCCCCGCCCCCGCCTCGTGACTAGACCGCCGCCCGGGGCGGAGGGGGGTGCGGCACCAACCCCCAAATTGGGGGAACGCTTCCCTACAGAACGCGGGTTTTTTTGTTTGAAAACCGAAACCGCAGATAAGCGATCACGCTCTTCGCTGTGCGCCCCACTTCCTGACCCCTCGTCCCGCTCCCAGCGTGGCCCCTCCCTCCTCCGCCCCGCCCTGCACCTCGCCTTGATTCAGCCCACGCCTCACGTGACCTTAGCATGTCACATGACGTGAGCGTCTGCTTAAATCCAGTCCTGGTAGTGGTCTCGGCAGCTCGGTTTCACTAACCCTGCTGTGATCACTCGTTTTCTCTCCTCTTCGCCTGTTGTCTCTCCACTTCTGCCGCCAAGATGATGTGCGGAGGGCTCTCCACCTCGCAGCCGGCCACCCCCGAGATCCAGGAGATTGCCGACAAGGTGAGGCCCCTTGTTGGTAGAAGTCCGGGGTTTTGCTGATGGGGGCTGAGAGGGTGACTGACTAGGTTTACATACCCGATCATCACTCCAGACAGGTACCTACCAGACCTTCCTAAAGGAGGACGCAGGAAAGGTCAGGGGACAGTGCAGAGTTTGGTGGGAAGTTCCTACTGTGATTCATGCCGACACCACCGGTCCTTTCTGAAAAATGTCCTTGGGTTATTGAGTTAGTTGAGTGAAAGAAAAATAGGAAAAGAAAAAGGGGGATACAATGGGGAGGGTGTTCGAATTTATCTTCCCTAAATTATTTGGGGAGAAAAAGGAAACTTTCTTGTTTGGAAAGGATTCAACTCTTAGTAAATGCAATTTGGTCCATAGAAATTGTACAGTAATTTGCAGACTAGGAGATCAAAAATGAGGCTGGACTGTATTGTGGGCAGAGTCTGGCTAAAATCCGGAGAAGGCTCTTGATTGCACCATGCCTTTGTCTCTTCTTCTGTAAAATAGGTTTAATCGCTGCATCTGCTTCTGAAAGTTGTGCTGTTAAATGAGTTAATATGTATAAAATATTGAGTTGTTGGTAAGTTCTGTAGAGTCGGTTCTGACCCATAGCGACCCTATGTAGGGTTTCTGAGGAATGGCTGGTGATTTTGAACCACCGATTTGTGGCTCAAAATGGCCTTGCAGTTCAGCGCATGAGCTGCAGCACCACACCAGAATGCCAGAGTACTTAGTTGTTGTTGTTGTTGTTAAGTGCCACTGAGGCGGTTCCGACTTATAGTGACCCTGTATAGGGGTTTCCAAGGAGCGGCTGGTGAGTTTGAACGGCCAACTTTGCATTTCTAACGGACCCTGCAGTCCAGCGCATTAAACCACAGCACCACACCCTTAAAATCAGATCTGCTCTACTCCTCATTCTACTAGGTGTTCTGTGAAAGAAAGATGAGGCCTTCTGCTCCTGTAAAGGTTTACAGCCTCAGAAACCCTATGCAGGGTGGCTATAAGGCAGAACCGACTCCCTGGCACACCACCACCACTACCACCAGGCAAAAGAAAACCAGTATCCCATGTTTTACCCATTCAGATTATGCTTCAATCCCTGTAACACAGAGCCCTGTTGTTCCAAGGCTGAGCATACATCACTGTCTACCTCTGTCCCGTTTAGCACATGCAAACCTTCCTAAGTGTTCTCCTATCTACCTTGTTCTGCCCTTCCCCCTTCTTGTGTATTTCCCTCCCCCTCCTCACCCAAACTATGATGTTATTATCCCCAACCTGTGCCTTACTGTGTCCCCTTCTTCTCCCTGTGGTAATTAACAGAGAAAGGTAATTTTTTTTCTTCCTTTTAGTATGGACATCTTTTCTTAAACTTCTACAACAATGCTTTTATGCGATATTTGTCCTTTTGTGAACAAACATCTTAACATTATTTCCTCTCCTTTACCCCTTCAGCCTATGTCTTGATCCCTGTATCATAGAGCCTTGTATTCCCAGGCTGTGTTGACATCATAGTTCACCTTGATTCTGTTCAGCCCATATAGACCTCCAAGGGTCTTTTCCCATCTTCCCTGCTTACCTTCCTCCCCACCTGTGTATTGTCCCCCTCCTATTTACTGCCCTTCCTGACCCTGAGTAAATATGTCCATCCTCTGACCTGTGAGTTACTGTCCCCTCCCTCACACACCTAGTAACCTGCAAAGAACTATTCTTTTATTATGGAAATCTTCTCTTAAGTTTTTACAGTAGTGGACTTTTGCAACATCTGTCCTTTTGTGGCTGACTAAAAATCAATTCTTTACACACACTTTACTAGTAACCCAAGAAATATTCAGAGCACATCAAGACTTATAAGGAAAAGTAAAACACACATCCTCCTTTAACTCTCTTCCCTGTGAAACTTCATCTTAAGCTCGCGGCATGTGGTTACCCCAGTTCACATTGCAATTGCTCTGGTGGTTTGATTATCTTACAAGAAAGGGCAGTGAGTCAGACCCACATGACCATTGAAAATGAGGAATTTGTCTAGAAGGCTAATGTTGGCATGCCACACCTAGCAAAGTATGCCTCGCTCTCCCCCCATTCCACTCCTATAGGCTTAGCCCTTCCTGACCAGTTTCCTGGTTCTCTGTGCCTAAGAAGATTTTCATCTCAGACTCTTTGGCCAGGCAGCGTGAATTTTGAATATGTGTAAGTGCTTGGTGCAGCCAGGACAAAAGGGTTGCTCCCGATGTAGCACTGTAGGATCAGCACTGGACTACAAACCACAAGTTCAGCAGTTCAAACTTACCAGCTGCTTCTTGGAAACACTATACAGGGTCATTCATTATGAGTCAGAACCAACTCAAGATACTTAACGACAAAAAACCACAAGCGCTTGCTACAACCAGGATAGAAGAGTTCTCTGTCTCAAAACAAAAACCCATCAGTTGCTATTGAGTTGACTCATGGTGAGCCGATGTGTATCAGAGTAAAGCTGTACTCCATAGGTTTTTTCAGTGGACATGTTTTCTTCTGAAGTGCCTCTGAATGGACTTGAACCTCTAACCTTTTGGTTAGCAGCTAGGTGTGTTAACCGCTTGCACCTCCTCGGAACTCCTGCTGACTCATGTGTTAAGTGCTGTCAGGTCAGTTCTGACTCATAGCGACCCTGTATAGGCTTTCTCAAGAGTAACTGGTAGGTATGAACTGCTGATCTTGTGGTTAGCAGTCCAGTGCTTACCCTACAGTGCCACACCAGTATTTCACACCTGCTGACTCATAGTAACACTATAATACAATAAAACTGCCTCAGGGTTTTTTCTGGGCTGTGATCTTTACTAAAGTAGACTGCTCCCATCTTTCTCCTGTGGGTTCGAACTGTCTACCTTTTGGTTAGCAGCCAAACGCTTAACCACTGTGTCACTAGGGCTTCTTGCTATCTCAAAAGAGATCCTGAATTTGGTGTCTTATCACTTAAAAACTACTTGTAATTAGGCAGTAGTTGTTGCTGTTGGGAGAAATCCCAGGGCAGGCATTATGGAAGCCAGCCTACTCCCTGGTTGTTTAAGACAAGAAGGTGGAAGGAGAGAGGTCTTATTGACATGCATATTACTATCTCACACTTGAAGACAGGGAAAGTAGAGTCACAGGTACAGAGACTAACCAAGATCTGAGGACTTAAGAAACCACATTGTCTGCCCAACCCCATCCTGCTCCTGAGGACTTAATTCACAGCTGCTTCACTGACCCTAGGCACCTTCTATCTCACCACTTTGCTAAATCGGAGCTGGCACCCTGTAGGCAGTGACCAGCCTGGCCCTCAGGGCTTCCACAGTCCCTCCCTCTTAGCCTGCATCCCTCTCCCACCTAGACCGTTTTCAGTGTTCTCACCATTCCCTGCAGATAGTGGGTATCCCTGTCTCTACTTTTGAAACAGGGACAGAAAGAGATTCCTCATTTCCTCTGTCATGCCCCAGGCCAGTGTGTGGGTGACATTCATTCATCCTAGGTACCGTTTGTCTCAACATGGACCGCTGCATTAGTCTGTGGGTTCCCTGAAGGCCTAGCCTGGAATCTGTACACAAGACGTTGCTACCGTGAAGTAGCCAGCCAGTGGTCAGGTTGCCGCAGTGATTCAGTTGCATGTATACCAGGTGACTCCCTTATTTCCCAACACATGTGCTTTCTGCAGTTTTGTTCTTTAAAATATGCTAATTCTCTTGTGACCGATTTAGTTATGTCATGCCATTGTGAAGTCAGTATACTGTGAGTGTCACCGATTAATCTAGAGAGCAGTCAGAGCATCTTTAAACTTAGTCAGATCATAGACAGACTTCACCTATTAAAAAGACTCAATCTTGGAGAATGCTCTTGGTTGGGGGTCATCCCACAACTAAAGGAAGAAGATGGTAGCCACAAAGAAGATGAAAAAGTTGCTGGAATTGATCAATTCTAAGCTCTAACTTGTTGTGAAAATGGGAAATCCAAGCTGGGGTACAAGCAGAACCTGAAGATGATCAGGCAAGGCAAAGCAAAGCTGGTCATCCTTGCCAACAACTGCCTGGTCTTGAGGAAATCTGAGATAGAGCACTACACCATGTTGGCCCAAACCGGTGCCCATCACGACAGTGGCAATAATATTGACCTGGGCACAGCATGACCTGCACACTGACTAGCATTGATCCAGATGATTCTGGTATCATTAGAAGCATGCCAGAACAGACTGGTGAAAATAATTCTTTCTGGTTTTCTTCTTTAATAAAACTGGCCAGAGCATTTTTTTTTTTTTTAAAGCAAAGACTCTAGAAAACAGAATTGAATCAAAGTATATTTATTGTGTAATAATTAAGGTTAAGAACAACCTTTAACCAATAGTTCTGAGTCCTAAAGATGACATCTAAAAAGTACAAGTAAAGTGCTTTTCACCTGCAAAGTCATTGCTGGATCTCTTACAACAGCAGAAATTAGAAATGGCCTAAATACCCACAGTAGGGGTACCTGGTTAAGATACTTAAGGCACGAGCTATAAAATGGAAGATTAGCCTTTAAAAGTCTTAACAAGGGGCCTTCAAAAAGTTTGTTGGAAAACGGAATGAAAAGATAACCGGATTTTTCCATGAACTTTTTGAAGCTCCCTCATTTAACAGCCTTCAAATGAATTGTTTACAGCATACTAAGTAAAAACAAACCAACCAACCTCCCCCCACCCCCCCAAAAAAAAACTAGTATGTAAACTTGGACACAGTTGTAATGATAAAAATGTAAAAACACCCCTGTGTCTAGAAGCGAAAGGGCAAATGATGTACCAGAAAATTATCATCAGAACTTTGGTGGATTTAATGAGAAACTTACACTGGTTGTTTTTGTTGTTGTACTTTATCATTGAGAGCTAGCAGTTTACTATGTTCTCTCAGTTATAAAGAACAATTGTGGTATAGAAAATATGTAACAGGTTTGGCCAGTTATTAACATGTAACATGACAAAAGAGTTCCGCGTGTGTAAGTCACTCTGGGAGAAGGGAAGCCATGAGGTTTGTTCATTGTGTTCCCCTCTTCTAGGTAAAGGCCCAGCTTGAAGAGAAGGAAAATAAGAAGTTCGATGTGTTTAAGGCTGTGTCATTCAAGAAGCAGGTGGTCGCTGGATTAAACTACTTTATCAAGGTACCAGGATGAAGAGGGGTGTCTAATTTGAAGTGAGGGCTCATTACATAGCAGCTTGTGAAAGCTGGCGCAGCATGGTCATACAGGTGCTTAGTGGTTGGTGGGAGGTGTTGTATGACTGCTTCAGACTTTAGAGAGGCTGCAGGCCCTGGAAATGAATGCCTGAATGCTGAGGAAGAGGTCTGAGGGTCTGGTGGTGAGCTGAGCATGCTGGCTGTAGGTGGTTGTGGAGGAGTGTACAAACTGATTTCCACAAGGTTCAGGGCAGCGTCCCGCCGTCCCTCCTAACCACACACGGGGGATGAAAAGAGGGAACCGGGTCCAAGGCTGTGGCTGTACCACTCACTCAACTCTCTCTCTCTCCAGGTTCATGTGGGCGATGAAAAATTCACACACCTTAGAGTATATGAGAGTCTCCCTCACGAAAACAAGCCTCTGACCTTGTCCAACTACGAGACCGACAAGACCAAGCATGACGAGATATCTTATTTTTAATTCCTGGTTTTGAGAAGAATCCTTGGTCCAAATAACCAATACACTAAAATGATTCTGTCGTCCGTGAGTGTGTCCCTGGAACCAGAAAAGAAACATGTCCACATTGTGCCACTTGGAGCAGGAGGAGGTGTTGCAGCTTCTCGTGTGTCTCTGTTCCTAAATTGTTCGTTGTATCCCAGTGAATAATCAATTGTAATTAATAACCTTAACTAAATGACTTTCAAAAAAGGCTAAATATCATCTTTAAATAGAGATATATTTTTTAAAATCTAAAAACGTCACCTTTGGTTGTGTGTTTTTGTCTTTACCCTAAACCATCATCACCATAGAAAAATGACATTAGGGAAGATGTTGGTGAAGTCTTCTCCCAGCTTCTCGGCCTGACACTGTGCTCACCTGGGCTACTCCAGGGCAGGAGACTATGGGATCATCTCCATCTGGTCGTATTGGCCCAGCTCTCAGAGCCACGTGGGTTCAGAACAGTGGGGTAGACCCAGCCAAGTGTGCCTGCCCAGGGACAGGAAGACAAGCTCTTCCATTTCCCTCCAGAACTGTCTCCCTCCCTCCCTTCCTTTACTCCCTGTTGGCCTGACCAACTTGGATAGATTCATGTCTTGCTCTCTGGCTTCCCAGTAGTCTGTGTGTCTGCCCCCTCCTGGTAGAGACCACTTCAGTTCTGTGAAGTATCCCCACTTCTGCAGTGACTCTTCGCCAGGTTTTCCTAACTCACCCACTCAGGATGGAAATGGTTCTCACTCCGCTAACCTGGAGTTTATCTGTACCCCAACTGTGTCCTTAAACCCTGCCCGTGCATTTGTGGATAGGCTCTATATTAAATTCTCCTCCATTCTCTAGAGACCGGCTGCTTCTGGACACTAACCAAGGGGTTGCCCTGCCTCCATTGGTCACAGAGCAGTGAAGTACCCTCAGGTCACTGGAAGGCAGACCCTCCTGTAATCCCACATGGGATTCTCCTAAACCCTGAGGTGGTGCCTGCTCTGCACCCTTACTCTGACTGAAGGCTGCACCCTGCTAGGGCTGAGGTCCTGTCCATACCGAGAGAGGCCTATGGCCCAGCACACAGCAAGGTGTAGCTACAGATGCCCTTATGATGGGGAGAGAGAGATACCAGCATACAGGCATGGCTATAAATCAAGGAAAATTGATTTGTTGTTAGGTGCCGTTGAGGCAATTCTGACTCCTAGCAACCTGATGCACAACAGACCAAAACACTGCCCGGTCCTGCATCAGCCTCATACTTGTTGTTAAGCTTGAGCCCATTGCTGCTGCCACTGTACCAGTCCATCTCATTGGGGGTCTTCCTCTTTTT